GGCAGGAAATAGCATTAAGATCAACACAGAGATTGAGCGAGAGTAAATTTGAAATTATTTTTATAACATCCCAGCATCTAATCGATGATATTTTTTCATCATATTCCTGGTATAAATATGTCACAAAGTAATAAACACTGGAATTAGTTATATTTATATATATATATATATACACACACACACACACAGATATATACACATTTTAAGTAGTAGTGACATTGTCCTTTAGGGCAGTCATAGAGAAAAAATAAGTAAATTGTCCAAAATTGTCATCAATATGGGCCACCTCTTTTATTTTGAATGCAAATGTAATGATAACTAGCTACGGCTAGTATGGCTATGTTTCAGTGACAGTCACTGACCAATCAATAACTTAGCCCTCTAAATGCCATCTGAATTGTAGAAATGTGAGCAGAGAGAAGAGACAGCAGAGGTTACAGTTCCATTAAAAGTTTATACACAAGTGACTTGAATAGCATATAGCAAACAGAACCTGTTTATACACTTAAAAATTAAATAGATTGTGGACATAACTTCACGTTATTTGCATTTCTTTTATTGACAATATTATAGGAAAGATGCCTATTTCAAAAGCCCTCTAAAATTTCCCTGTGAGATTCAAGAATGATTTAAGTTTTAAAATTGCAAAATCCTGTTAATTCCATCGTTAAAATACCTCTTTCTCCTCTCTCTTTTTCATTCTTATACCATTAGATAAAATTTCCTGGAATACACCATCCTCGATATTCAAAGCCTTGCTAAAATTCTTTACTACTTTTAACTTCCTATTGTGTTCTAATGTAAAGCATTTCCACAGAAAGCACTTTCACATAGTTTTGAAATACACAGAATGTAGACTTGGTCAAGACTGCATTTACTTGATTGTAGTAGAATCTTCCTATCTTCTTATGCCGGGGTTATTCTAACTCAGTTGTGGGTAAGGCTGATTCTCAATGATTTGCTTTACAGCGAGTGCCAGTGCTGAGATGGTAAGCAGTTACCATTAGTGACTCATTAAAGAGACTCTGGGAACATAACTGCCTCCCAGCTCCTTTGAAATGCATCACCAGGGATAGTTCCTACACTTGGAGCAATCATGCTATTAATAGTATTAAGAGTAAAAATGAAAGTCTGTCTATAATGGCCACTTTTTAACAGGTGGCTAAAAGTAGGTGCAGGTGACTCAAAAGGAGAACAACAAGGATGGCTTGCTAGAAGCTGGTAGGTAAGTTTAGGGTTATATTTTTTTCTACTAACAGGGAAGGTTCAAATCATTTTAGAGAAAACGAACCATAAAAGGTGACCTTGTAAGTGTTCTGCTGAGTGAGGCATAGTATATGAGACACACATTATTTCTTTTCTATGCAAACTTAGTAAATTAACTCCTTTTTTGGTTCATATGATATTTTTATTTAACTGAAGAAATCTAAATTATCATATCAAAATGTAGTCCACATGAGAATGAAAGCCAAGATAAATCCTGTTCTTTCTGAGCCTTGAAATGCAGTGTTTTACAATTACAGCCCATCTCAATTCAAAAGCTAAATTTGATCTGTTTCAAGATTTCATAAGATTTCCAGTTATGAGAAGATTCACACAGAGTATTTGTTAACCTTCTTTAAAACAATAATTCCCTGTGCTATACAAGCTGAAAATATTGGAGTTAAAAAATCATATGATCATCTTTGACTTAGTTAGGTCTACCTCTGCTGCTATTGTCTGCTACTGAGTCCTAAAGTTATTTTCCTCTATTGTATGTGGAAAATCCATTTATTTTTACCCATTCCGACTACAGTGGTTCCAATCTGAGCCCTTATTACTTCAACCTTGCATTGCTACAGCAGCGTCCCGGCTGGCATCCGGACCCATGTGTCTTATCTTTCTAACTTATTCTGCACACGCTGACAGATAAAACACTGCTTTCATCAGGTCCTTGCTCCTACCACTTATTGAACAAGGTCTAAAATACCGATCCTGACATTTATAGTCCTCTACAAAATTACCCCAGGCTCCAGCTCACATCTTCAGAGGTTCAATCTACCCACTTTTCTGTGAACACGTGTAATGTTTTTGTTTTTCTTACCTCAAATGCTTAACTTATAAAATTGCTCTCATTTTGTATTCTTTTCTCTTTTCTACTTATTCTAACGTTATGGTACAAGTCAAGTCCCAGCTCATCCTTCAGATCATTCTTAAGCTCTTTAGCTTCAAATGACTGCTTTTGCAACCGACTGGTTTCAGTCTTTAACTCATACTTGTTGGGTGATGTTACCAGTGATCTCATTTCCCTAAACAAATTAAATTCCCTGGGTTGCACATCTTCATCCCTTCCTGACACTCATAGCTCTTTCTACACGGTCTTCTGAATGCAGGCATAGTTACGTGAGTGCCTGAAATTAGAAAGTCTGAAGCATTAGAGAGGAAGGGGGTAGCTTCTCCACAGTATTTGCTGACTGATATTAATCCTTACTACACAATTATTTTAATTATTAAAAAATCGCACAAGTCGGCATTTTTAAAGTCTCTGACTGGGTAAGGGCAAAAATGGAAATAGCAAGAGTCCGACAGGTCAATTATGCAGAGCTCTGAAAACAGCCATGAGCATCAAAAAAAAAGAACCTTTTGCCTTTTTGCCATTAGTAAAGATATTTCTACTCTCTTAATTCTCTCCTTTTCATGTTTCCATAGAAATATAGGCTCTAAGAAAAAAATATTTATCAAGGCAACAAACAAAAGGATTATCTTCATATAGAAGTTAATTAAAGGAGTTCTTCTGAGTATATTTATGCATATATTACTTGTTATAATGCAACTTTCTCTTCCCAGATATCCCATAAGATTGCTGATAGAAAAAGTAGTCTGACAAATATGGCAAGATGAGGAAGCATTGCTTAGGTACAGGCAGAGGAAGAGGCACCAGTAATAGGAAACCAAGAATGGGAACCATCAAAAAGGCAGGAGAAAGTGGTACTGAGTGAGCCGAAGATCCCTGTCACAGTGGAGGTGGGTAGATATTACAAAGTAGTCACCTAGGATGAGGAATAAGCAGAGGTTTTCAGATTTGGAAATGAAAAGATCACTGGTAATCACAGAAAGAAAGAAACGTTTTTATACAGATTGTGTCAAAAAACAAAAGACCCGTGTTAATATTGTTGCTTTTATGCCTACAGTGATCTATGCACACATTCACTGAGGCCATGATCTAACAGGAAGGGGAAAGGAATTAACATTTAATGAAGATTTAATATGTGCAAAGCGCTGAGAGGATCATTATGTTCTCAGCCTCAGAGGGAGGAAATAAACCAAGGTTGTGCAGTTAAGTAACAGAGTTTGAAACTAAAGCTGTCTTCACACTTGCATAGCTTCCACCACATCTTAGATTTCCTCCAGTGGTATTCTACAAAAATGTGGTTTTCATCTTTTTACCTAACTTCATGTCACACTTTGCTCCCTGGATATCATCTGTGCATAGACTGTAGAATATGAAAATTGGAATAATCCTGAAAGATCATTTGGTCCAGCCCTCTTTTCTTTTTTTCCCCATCTAAATAAACTGATACCCAAAAAGGTAAAGGGATGAATAAAACTCACATTGTATTAGTGAAAGAACTGGGACTAAAACTTAAGTTTTTCGATTCCCAAACTCACGCCTGTTTTCATCATAAACTCTATGGAGGGTCCAAATTGTATGCAAATGTATGCTTGATTCAAGGAGGAATTACAAGGCATGACAAGAAAGTCTTATATCCCTCAATTTCTCCATGAATGGTTTCAGATGGGGAGAATGACTTTGAATTCTAAATACCTAAGTCTCTATAACTGTAAAGGGAGAGTTATTTTTTAGCAGATGCTGATGGTGGAGAATACATAATGAAAAATAAGCATATAAAATAAAATCCTAAAAATCAGTAGATAGTTAATATTAATTGTAAACTAAATGTTATGTTTCAAATGAAGATTCCTAAAATGACTATCATAATGGAAGATTTTTTACAAAAAAGAAGCTATTTTTCACAAATTTTAAAAAAGCAATCTTTTCACTGTAAAGAAAACGGGTCCCGGATCAAATCAGCAAAAACTGGAATCTAATTCTGTGTGTTCAGAGTTCTACAACATCATCCAATACATAACTACAAATGAGGGTGCAAAGCATGTTTTTATGAATTAAAAAAGGTGGTTGTGTATTCAGTTACATATTCAGCTACATTTTAGATATGTAGCAAGAATTACATTCTAAAACTCAACGTGAGTAAAAAGAATCATGTACTCTTTACAGATTGAATTTGCTACATGTATAAATAACATGTTACAAAGCTTGGAATGTAAGCATTATCCATAATATCTAGTTAATAATCATGGCAAGTTGGAAACATTTCCATCACTCATTTCTGCAAGAAACCATGTTATCTAGTAGCGTCGACAGATTGCAATCCACATATGGCCGGTTTAGAGTACATAAATCTGTCATTTAAAAATCAGTACTAAATATGAACAGAATTGGGGGTCGCCATGACAATGACAAGGATGTTGTTACTGAGAATTTCTGGGAAAGTTAACCAATTATATTACATTTTATGCATGCACGTATATAATGCATATGGGCAATGATGTAAGGATCTTATTGATTGTTAAGGTGACAAGCAAAGTGTTATGGAATCCCATGAGCCAAAAGCTAATTACAAGAACAACAACAACAAAAAGCTGCAGTGTACAACTATGCCATAACGCTTTCAAGAGCTTGGTCCGATCATCTTCTAGATATGAATGAGGGGAAAGTTTAACCAGAGGAGTTAGGAACTAATGTCAAAGAACTAAGGACACAATTTAAAAAGTCAGGTTTCCGTGTTCTGGTGTAAGGCAGAATGGGTGGTAGCAGATTCTTAACTGCTTTGCTCTGTTTGCCTAGCATAGCATCAAAATGACAAACTCTTCAAGCTAGTGGTTAAGTTAGTGCTGTTGGAGAAATGCAAAGCAAATCAACGTGGAATGGGGCCTCCCACCTCTTGCCTGCCGTCCGGGCCCACAGCCCTCCTGCGCTCCAGGGCTGTCCTGTTGCACGCTCCAAGGGACTAACTGGCACCTGCGCCATTTGTGAGTCTTCCACCTACAGGGAAAGAACAGAAGCCTCATAGAGAAGAAGCAAACATACTAGTAAATCACAGAGACACAAAGCCAAGGAAGCATGACTTTGACCACTGCAAATAGGAATTTATTTGACAACGCGGATGAACTTAGTTGCAGGGCAGGAATAAAGACGTAGACATAGAGAATGGACTTGAGGACATGGCGTGGGAGGGAGAAGCTGGGGCGAAGTGAGAGGAGCATCGACATATATATACTACCGAATATAAAACAGTTAGCTACTGGGAAGCAGCAGCGTAGCACAGGGAGATCAGCTGGGTGCTTTGTGACCACCTAGAGGGGTAGGATAGGGAGGATGGAAGGGAGACTCAAGAGGGAGGGGATATGGGGACATATGTATGCATACGGCTGATTCACTTTGGTATACAACAGAAACTAACACAGTATTGTGAAGCAATTATACTCCAATAAAGATCTATTTTAAAAAAGTCCTATCTAAATTTAATTTAGATCTTCATCAAGGAATTATAAAAAGCAGTACTAAATATAAAAGTACTTCCTATTGCAGTGGAGACAAGAGTCCATCACTGTCAAGTTCTAAAGGAGCGGACCCTACTGATAGCATTTAGCCTTTTTATTTATTTTTATTTCTTTTTTTTTTTAAGGCTGCACCATGAGGCATGCGGGATCTTAGCTCCCCAACCAGGGATTGAACCCGTGCCCCCTGCAGTGGAAGCACAGAGTCTTAACCACTGGACCGCCAGTGAAGTCCCACATTTAGCCTTTTTAATGATTAGGACTGCCAGCAGATGTATACAGATAGTACCAGAAGTGATGTGTTCCACTTTAGAAAGGTATATTTATTTTACATTCAAGTTATAAAATTGCATTCAACACATGAGCCTTTTGTATATATAGTGCTCTTTTGATTAGCATTGTAGGGGTAACTCAGAAGCTGCAATTTATAATACACTTCACAAAAACAAATCCCCCAAATAAATAAGTTTGGGCTAACAGTTAATGTTCATCATGAAAGCATGTAATTATACTGTTTGTCATCTCAGAATTAAACACAGATAAATTAAGATGACAAATTTGCCATCAATTTCATCTTAAGTTATTATTTTGGGATCACACATTCCATCAATTGATGCCATAATATTTCATTTGTTGTCAGGACTGCAATTATGCACCACATCAAGTTTCAATTAGGTACTTTTTTTAATAGTTATGAAAAATTTTTTCTAATAATCAAGATGATGACATATAGCTTCAATAACCTTAATTTTCCTTGAGGTGGCCACAAATGTTCAACAAAACAGACATCTTACTAACATCACTGAGACAAAGATGTCATTTCATGACCCAGAATGCCAGCATTTATGAGGAACAGGTGCTCTTTGGAGCCAGGGGAGGAATGCTTAGGCTATTCCTGTAAGTGAAAAAGAACTGCTTCCAAAAGCATATGTTTCATAATTATTAATCACTTTTCTGCATTTTCTATAGATTATATCAACATAAGAAAGTCTTCAAGCTCCTAAAGCTTATAGTACAGCTTGGAAGTTTACGCAAGTATTTGTGTCCCTGGAGATGATTTCAGTAGCAAAGCAGCTCTTTAAAACAGGCACGAGATGGGACCCACAGTCATAAACATCCTCCACTCCCCGAGTCTGCGGGCAGTGTTGGCTTCCTTTTCTCATTGTCGGAAAGACCATGAACCTGAAGTATTTTGCTTAGTGCATCGCTCAGAAGGCTTTTCCTTCACTCCATTACCTGTAGCTTTGGCACACCTGAGGGGCCTCGCAGGCCTTCTCTTCATAGAGAGGATCCGTGCAGTCCTTGCCTCCATTGGCTGGCAGCTGAATGATGACCCGGTGCCGTGTCTGCTTCCTGATTCCGGAGTCCCCTGGAATGAGGCAGCTTTTTAACCTCTGTTCTCTGCACTGATGAAAGAATCTCCAAATACCAGCCTGTGTGAAGAAATTACATTGCTTCCAGCTCCATGTGCTTTGACATCCCTGACTGAGAGGCCTGGTCTAGTCATTTCCTAAATTCTCCCGAAGACCACTTATATTGAAAGCCAATCAATGTATATTAAAAAATGTGAAGAATGGAGAAAATAGTTCCATAGTCAGCTAGTCTTCCTAATGCTCACTTACAACATAATTGCTCTTTTGTATGCTTCTTCCCCCTTGAGAAATATGACAGATCTAATTAATCTGTTTTTCTCTGCCTTAAGTTTATTTTCATGCCATTTCATATAGCCCTGTTTACCACATGGGACTCATACACATCTAATGAATCTTTCTTAGGAGAATATATTCAATGTTTTAATGTGAAATTCTATTTCTTTGTTATTCACTTAATTTGAAATGTATAACTCGTAAATTATTCTAGTCATTTATTATTCATGTTAAACACTTTAAGATCTTTAATTCAGGTCACATCCTGAACATCCGAGCTGTAAGTAGTGAAATGAAAGTCGTTTCCTAGAGGCAGAATTTTTAGAGAAGCATTCAAAATAGTGATAATTACTATAAGTAAGTTACTCCAAATTATGTTACAAAAACAATGGAAATAATTCAGATTTACCTTCGATGAAGATATCAAATTGACAGTATTGCTGATATAAAGATGCTCAGAATTTTTTAGTATGAGAAACATGATATATAAGACTTGACAACTTTAATAAAACACATTCTAACTTAACAATATATACACTTTAAAGATGAATAGCCGTATGTCATGAATTTGCTTACAAAAGAATTCCCTAAAGAATTACTTTACTGAGCTCCCCTGATGCATTTACATGTTTTCTCAAGATCATTAAATATTTGATATGTAGACTACAGAAACAGAGAAATTTAGAAGGGTTAGCAGCCCCTAACAGTGAAAGTTTAATCAGAACTGAAATGAAAATATCCTTAAAGTCATTGTGTTTGAAGAAAAATATGATTTGACAAATAGAAGTTTCCAGTAATGGAACATCCTTTGACATGAAGTCAGGGTATCCCTCAACACAGTCTGGCCACTGACTCCTAGCAGCGTGACTTGAAGATTCCTGTATTAAATGGGAGAATGGATCAGATTAGTGATTCCTAAATGTCTGACTACATAGGAGAATTTCTTTGAAAAAATAAAAACCAAAAACCAAAAGCAGATTTCTCGGCATGTACCCAGAACTACTAAATAAGAATCTCCTGGCAGCTGGATGTGGGAATCTGTGGATGTGGGAATCTGATTTTTACAAAGCTTGCCAGGAAACGGTAATAAACAGCTAGGTTTGAGATCTACTGGAATGACTGACCATGGATGTCCCAATTTAAGATTCTAGAATTTGCATGTAACTTTTTAGGATTATTCCTATAGTGCGGAAAACCTGTACTATTAATGACTGCGTTAACTATTTTAGTGAATAGTTGGAATACTACAGGTAATGAAGTATGGAACTAGGGGGTGGAGGTAGTGGGTAGCAGAGAGTTCAAGTATTTAGAAATATTGTCATAGACTTTTAAAAACTGTAGCAGTTAATAGTTTGAATGCCAGCTGCAGCGTTTACATATTAAGAATAATTTATCTAAGAAAGATCGAAGATGTGCCAATAGGACTTTTAATAAAATTGGTAATGCTATCTCCATCCATTATATTGTTCAATGACCCCTATTTTAAGGCCCACGTGATAAATTCCTCTAATAATTTAGAGCTAGGAAAAATCTCGTTTCCCTTGACAATCCGTTAAGAATCCACTGTGCTTCTGTTTTTTGCTTTGTTCACCAGAATCTCAGAGCTAATTCTCTTCTCAATTGCAGGAGCTTACCTTAACTTTGATTTTATATTATAATTTTTCTCTTCTCCCCTCCCTCTACCCTATTTACTAACTGACTCCATGCTTTTCTTTACACTATTATCTATTATTTTTCCTTTTGTTTTATATTTATGCTCTGTCTTTCATCTTTTTAAAAGACTATACAAACTAAATGAGCATTCTTATCATTTGTTTAGCATTGCGGGAAGGAGGGAGGTGTGTGTTTGTTTTTTAACAGGGAAAAGAGGGAAAGACCAAAGAGGAGCAGGTCTTTGTTTCCCAGGTGGTCGAAATTCTTAAGAGTCAATAACTCTCCAACCCTTTTTAACCTGCAGATAAAAAATAGACATAGAATTGAGGCCAAGGGATCCACAGACTAGAGGGGACAATGAGAGCAGCATCAGTGGCACCATATAGACCGAAGCTCCTGGTCATTAACTATCTAAATATCACCTGGTATATACCCAGGGCTGTTCAGATTTGGGAAGCAGCAAGCAAATGTTAGTGTTTCAATTCTACTTTGTTTATTGACTTGAAAGCAAAAAAGTCACACTAATATAAAACTCTGAAACATTCTAGTGCCTTCTCATCACAATCTCCACAAGTCTATACTTGATATATAACACCATGATAACTCTTTTCACTTCCATAATAGATTCCACAATGGGAATCCATTTATTCTTATAAAAAAGTTCAAATACCTTAACCTTGCACAGCCCACAGGAGCGAGATTGTGACCTGATTAAAGTGGAACATTCCAAAGCCATAACACCTAGAGAGGAAGTTTAATGGGGTTACACAGGAAGTGTCATGACATCCATGTTTCTACCCACTGGGAGGTTTGTTTCTTCTCAGATCGCAGTGAGCAAATTACGCATACACTCAAAGAAACAGCACTTTAGAGCTCTGACAGTTACAGAGCCCTCAAATCAGTGTGCAGACAAAGGGAAAAAGCCACAGTACATGTTAAAAAATAAATTAATAAAAGTGGAAGGCTCCTAACTAATAACTTGAGTTGGCAAGTGTGGAATTTTACGATCTTCAGAGTTTCCCACATATATTTACACCCAATTTATTGTATGAGGTGGGGATACATACATAATTTCCATTTATCTTTGTGTTTTAGCACCTAGAACAGTGGACACACAACGTAAAGTCTTAATAAATGTTTGCTGAATGACCAAACACATTTATTTCACTTCTTCTCAACTGGATTATAAATTAGCATTTTCTTTTCCCTTATATCCATTTCCTTAGAGTATTATGCACATGGGTACTAAGTCTGTTCTTTAGTATTAATAAAAACTAAGGTATCATTTTGTTCATTGGAAATAATAAGCATGGGAAAAATAAAGGAATAATCCTATAGTGTTTATACTTGAAAATACCTACCTAGGATAGGTAGAGGAAAAAAGGGATTATATATTCAGAAAACATTTATGTGGTAATGGGCCATAGAGACTCAGAGGATTATGTAATTTCTCACTCAGCTACAGCACTTTTCAGATATCTTAAGACATTCAAGATAAATTTCACTGGAGAAGTTCCTTGATGGAAGGGTTTAAAGGGCAGGCAAAACTAAGATGGGTTAAGCTGGAAGCGAGGCGGAGGGCAGGCTGCAGCAGCACAGTGAGAGGAAATTGAAAGGGAAACATTTCATGCAAGAAGTAAAATGTAAAGGCAGTTATTGGACCTTTGAGGGGTAATTCTAGCATAGTACTGTTTGAAGGCATCAAGGTAGAAAAGATGCCTCTGCAGTATCCCTGCTAGCTGTCAAGTCAATAAATTTAGCAAGAAAAAAAGGAGCAAACACAATTTGAGCAGCCAAGTGTATTATTTGATCAAAAGTATTGATTTTTTAAAGATTAGAGTTACAAATAATTTATATGCATAAATATTTTCCATCTTTAATAAAGCCCTTTGTAAAGATTTATGAAAATTTGGAAACATTAACAAGTACACTGGTTTGAGGATTCAATGACTTTCTGTTCAATACTGATGTTTACCAGCATTGATTTTTCAAGGCACATCATCAGAGAGGGCTGAGTAATATTTCAAATTACTCTGCTTGTTCTTCCTGGAATCCTAAGCTACTCTGTTCCATTTTCTGCCATACTATACAGTAATTTTACCTATTGAAAGTGACTTAAAAAGGAGGGTAGCTCTACATTTTCAGAAGTTCAAACTCTTACAAAATGTAGATTTTACCTACAGAATTAAGTTTAAAAGAGCCACCTCATTCCTGAATTAATTTTCGTTTGCTATCATCTATCCTTGAACATTCGAATTTTTAAGCATTTTTTAATTGCACACAGAAGTCAGTGTAATTTCAATGAAGCTTGCCTTATTTCCATTTCATACCAAATAATGAAAAGCTAACTACATGTCATTGCTTTACTTTCCCTACGACAAAAGGCTAGTCTATAACACCACTGTATCCTTATTCTCAGTTACAGCAGTCTACAGGTGAAACAGAAAAGGTTTCTCCCAGCACACAAAGCATCTTGACACTGTGTCCAACAGCAAGCCCCTCTGCCAACCCCTTAGTCTTTCTTTTTTTCCTCAATACACAACTATAGTATATATTCTTTTTAAGACTGAGTGCCTAGGTTTAAGATTTCTGAAAGCCTTTTGTTCTAGGAGACTCAACACAGAGCTGCCAAATAGAACAGGGAGGGCTGATCTGCTGGTGGTGAGATGTGACCTGAGCTTGGCCAAACACAGCTCCACATCTCAGAACCTCTTGCTCACAGGACAGCGGATTCCTGAGCTGGCATTCTTGCACTCCTTGGCCACTACCACCCAGGAGCTTCAGAGAAGACTAGTATTCCAGTGGCAGGACGCATTTTAATTCACAGCAGTTACCTACCTTTCACCAAGAGACTATCCCAATTGAACCCATTACATCTAACATGCCTGTCGCACCACAAGAAACCAGCACCCTCAATCCCCACTGTGTGTCTTCCATCATACCTGGACCACAGCATACAAGCTGTGCATAACCTTATTCAATTTCTCTTTCTTTTCTATCCTCTAATCTTTCCACCACTGTACCTAAAGGAACACACTGCCTCTCATCTCCAATCTCTTCTTAGAAAGTT